GCGGGAGGGATTTGGTGGTGTCACAAAACCTGGGTGACTCAGCTTTCAGTGGGGCATTGTGGCCTCGCGGCTCTGACATTTTAAGTGGGAATCGCAACAAAGGGGAGCCAGGGTGGCGGGGCGGTAATGCTGCTCTCGGGGGCTCTTAATGGCGGGGCTCTCCAGGGCGCGCCCGCTGAAAGGAGGCCCCTCTCCCAGGAGGACTATTCCATTTCGGTGGGAGGACTGGCCTGTGACCCCGGCCTCTTAAGGGTGACATTGAGTAGGGCTGCTGTCTGGGGGGGTGGTCTGCCGCCGGCTCCTTGCCCCCACCCAGCGGCCCCTCAGCTGTCCTCGGTCCCTGGAGCTTCCCACGGGGAGCCGCAGACGCTCCGGCCGCGGTCCCGGCAGAGGCGCTCGGCAGGCCTCTGGCCCAGGTCCTGTGAGCCGGCCTCGGGGGCTGGAGCTCGGGGCCCCCGGCGGCTCGGGAGCCTGAGCGGGAGGAGGTTCCCTATGGCGAGGCCTGTGAAGGGACCGGCCATCGAGGACATCCTGTGAGAGCGTAAGAACCGTGCCCCCCCAAAGACTTCTCCACCCCCAAACCCCAGAACCTGCGAATGGAGCCTTATTGGGAAATAGGGTCTTTATAGATATGACCAAGTTAAGATGAGGTCACACCGGAGGAGGTGGCCCTTTCTTTTTTTAAATCCTCACTTGAGGATATTCTCTCCGTTGCTTTTCAGAGAGAGTGGAAGGGGGAGGGGGGGGCACTGATGTGAGAGAGACACAGCGACTGGCTGCCTCCCGCACACACCCTGACCAGGGCCGAGCCTGCCGCCAAGCTCCGTGCCCTTCACCAGAATCGAACCCGGGACCCTTCAGTCCGCCGGCCGACACTCTAACCACTGAGCAAACCAGCTAGGGCTCTTTTGTTTTTATCTTGTTGACATCATTACCGATGTCCCCGTTTTCCCTGCCATCTGCCCGCCTCCCCCCCGGCTCCCGCGCCCCCTCCCCGGCCCTTGCCACACTGCTGTCTGCGTCCCCGGGCTGTGCACAGATGCTCTTCGGCTCATCCCTTCCCCGCCTCCCACTCCCCACCCCCTGACTGGTGTCCTTATAAGGACAGATTAAACAGACGCCCGCAGGACAGAAGGCCATGTGACGATGGGGGCAGAGGCCGGAGGGATGTAGCCACAAGCCAAGGAGCCCCCAGAGCCCCAGATGCTGGGAGAGACAAGGAGGGCTCCTCCCTCCCCCAGAGCCTCTGACGCCGCAGTGATGTCAGACCGCCAGCCTCCGGAACTGTGACAGGTGAATCTCTGTCCTTTCAAGCCCCAAGTCTGTGGCCCTTCGTGTTACAGCCGCCCCAGGACACTGAGACCAAAAGCTAGCCGTCACTGTGCCAGTCCCCATCCGCAGGCCCAGGAGCCTCCCACGGCCCAGTGTCTGAGGTAGGGCCGTGCACACTGCTCAGCTGAGCTGCTGGGAGGGGACCCCGTTCCCACTGCTGCCCACCTGCCCCGCCCCTGAGACTGGACCAGCTCCTCCAGTTACAGTGTCACCATGAAAGGGGTCCCCAGCCCCGATTACTCATCGTTTTAGGCACTTACGCAAAGTCCTCCCAGCCCCTCACAATGCCCGATCGGGCCCCTCCGGAGCCTTTTCTCTTTCCGGCTTTGAAGGTGAATGAATTTTCAAGGCCACAGCATCCCTTTAAAACCAGACAAATGGGGGTGGGGATGGTTGGAGTCCAGAACGCCCTGAAGGAGTGTCCCGTGTGTGCCCCGAAGCCGCCTCCCTGCCCCCCACTGGAGGGCAGGCCCAGGGAGGTCAGCAGCTCGGAGCTGGGCCTGGGTCCCAGGGTTCCAGTGCCAGGGAGAGAAGCCCCCGGAGCATCGGGCTGTAAAAACCAGCGGGATTGAGGCTGCGGGACACGGGGGCTGCTGGAGTCCCAGGGGCTCCTCTTAAAGGACCCGCACACAGACTTACTGAGACCCCTCCCTCTGAGCTCCAAAGGCACCTGGGCACTGGGGGAGGAACTGAACTGTTGGGCATCAGGGCGAGAGCTGGGGGACAGCTTTCTCCCAGACAGAAGCGGAGCCGGGGCCCCTGCTCCTTTTCTGAGCCCCCCCAACCCTCAGGGAGTGGACAGGACCTGAGGCTCCATGAGCCTGGCTCACGCGGTTTGCCCCGCCCGGGTCACTCCCCGAGACTCCGCCCCAACTCCACGCTGTTCCCCGGCTCCTCAGGGGGGACCTCTGCTGTCCAGACACTTCTCCCCGTTTTTATTTATCCGGAACACGTGGCTGTGGGGCCGCGGGTTCCGGCTCCGCCCCTCCTACCAGCCTCCGTGTGGCTTCTTCCCTGTGTCCTTAGCTGTGGGACGGCCACTGGGCCGCGTTTCGGGAGGCTCTGAATGGTGGCTGCCGGGCAGGTCGGCCGTAATTCTTATGAGGCCGCCACGGGACCAGAACCCCTGCTGAAGCACTTTTCGGGCTACGCTCTAATCAGGGCGGGTGACACTGGTCTCCATTCTCGAGAAGGGTGTGATGTTTCCTTTGAAATAAACTGAAGTTAAAAAATAAAAATCAGTCCTTTTGTTCTTTCCACTGTCGAGGTGTCTTGGTGGGATTCCCAGCTGCCGTGAGCCCGGCAGGGGCGAGCCTGCTGCACCCCCAGACCCGGGATCCGGGGATGGCCGCTCTTGAGGGAGCTGGCGTGAATCCAGGCACAGCCCAGACGGACGGAAAGCCACGGCCAGCGGGCCTGGGCCGCTCCTCGCCTGCCGAGGACGGGCCACCAGAGGCCCCTCACGGGGGCTGCAAGGGCTGAAGGGCCGTGGCTTTTGATATTGTTCCAACACTCACTACCTGTGGGGCCATTCTAAGGGGTTTGTCATCACGAAAACCCTATGAAGTGACTATTATCATGTGCCCATTTCATAGATGTGGAAACAGGCACAGAATGGGTCGGTCCGAGGACAGAGGCTGACTGCGCTGTGCAGGCCGTGTCAAGGCCCGCGTGGACGTGTGGGCACCCGTAGCTGTGACAGAAGTGTCCCCAAACTCTTTGCACCGGTGTAAACAGCACCGGTGGCTGCAGTCTCCTCAGAGACTGGACCTGCTGGACGTCTGGGGGTTTCCAATTTATAGAGTCTGAGCCTCGACCTCCCTGGAAGCACAGCTGCCGGCCCGTCCCCTCCACAAGGCGAGTGCTGGGAGTTAGCACACTTGGCCTGCTGGATTCGGAGCTGGAGAAATGCCTGCGAGGGGCCGGAGTCTGCCGGGGCCACGGAGCATCCGGTGTCCCGCGTGGAGCAGCGAACCTGGGCGCTGGTGACCCGGGACGCTCCCGCGTGCCCCGCTAAATGCCGTTTTTCTTTCGGGACTCCTGTCCCCCATCCTGAGCCCGGATAATGGGCCCCTTCCTCTCATTCCCGGCACCTGAGTGAGCCGGAGAATCCGACAGGAATTTTAAAGTGACACTTGAAAGAAACCCATTCATGGGGGAGTGAGTTATTTTTGTTGTAAAGACAATGGTGAGCGGCAGGAGAGGAAGCGGAGGGGCCCCTCCCGGCCCCATTCCTCCCGCCGCTCGCTGGCGTCCTGCTCTGCGTCCGCCTGCCGGGACCTGGCCCAGGTAACAGGCCGGAGCGGGTTTTTAAGCTATAAAATATGTCTATGTTTTTCTGTTTGCAAACAAAATGCTACACGTACAGCGTCGAATTCTGCTTCCCACTTGCTCCGCTTGCTTTCTGCACAGGACACGATCTTCACTTTCCCCTTTAGGCCGCACAGTGTACAATCCTGCGGGCGCCGGGGCCCGGCTGGCGCACACACCCTGGGGCTGGCTCCCGGCGCTGAGCACCTGCAGGCCGGTTGCTTGGCCTCTCTGTGCCTTAGTTTTTTAATCTTTGAAATGAGGCTACTCGTAGCCCCTGCCCACTAGGGCTGTGAGGAGGATTATATGCGTTAATATTTATAAGATGCTTCCAAGGACACAGTGTGCGTCTCTGGGGCTATATCCTGTTGTCAGGCTCTGGCTGTGCCCACCCGACGGCTACAGATCACAACCAGAGGAGCAGCGCCGCCTGGCTCTCTCTCCCTTGCCGATGTCATCCGCTCCTGGGCGCGGGTCCCTCTCTGGCCCTCGGTGTCTTCATCTGTGCAATGGAACGCACACTCTCTACCTGTTGGGTGCACAGGTCTCGGGTGTGATGCAGCGGAGGGTGGGCGTGGAAGGGAAGGTATGGCCCAAACCTTTCCCCATCCCAGGACCAGTGATGGGTTACATCTTAGGACAGAGATGGCCTGTCCAAGGTTCAGGCCACTCCCTGCATTCACAGTTTGGGGGAAAATAAAACTTGAGAGATTTGGAGCAGAGGAGGGGCCCGCGATGCTCACCTGGTGGTTAAGTGATGAGAAAGCCACATCCTCCCTTCTGGGGTATCTGCCCAGGTGGCCTTGCACCTTCTGGTCACTCGGGGACAGGTCCCAGGCACTGGGTCCCCTCTGGCTTCTGTGACTTCCCTGTCCTTTCCCCATCCCAGCGATGGGTTACACCCTAGGACAGAGATGGCCTGTCCGAGGTTCAGGCCACTCCCTGCATTCACAGTGGCTTGAAATCTAAAAGCGAAAATCAAAGCGAGATGAACGTATACAAACAATAACCTAGTTTCCGGTGGGGAGGCTGCCCCCCCCCCCATGGGCATTCTCCCTCCTCCTGGCCCTCCAGGCGGCCACCGCCGCGGGCTCTGAGCTCCCCTGGGGCCACGAGGGCTGGTGGGGTGCTCTCGGCGTCTCCCAGGGAGTGAGGCATGGCCGGCCGCCCAGGCTCTCAGACCTAAAAGTAACCTGGAAACCTGACCTTGGGGGACAGGGGGAGGGATGTCGGTGATTTTCCAAGGCATAGGGCCCGTGAGGTCGGCCCTCTGGTTGGCTCCCTTTGGGGAAAGGTGGACTCGTGGGGTCCCAAGCTCAGCAGAGGCAGGAGCTCCCCGGCTGGGGAAGGCAGAAGCGATGGAGAAGCGCTCAGCTCTCCGGGGGTCGGGCGGCGCTGGCAGCCCGCAGCCCACAGCCCACAGTGGGTCCGCCCATCTCGAGGGGTGGTTCACAGGGCCCCCTGTTATCTTCCGAGGCGATGGGGCCGCAGCGAGGGGCGACCCACCCAGGGGGAGGAGAGGGGGGAGGAGCAGAGAGCAGAGCAGCTGGCTGAGAGCTCCCCTCCCCGGCTGCGCAATCCCCGCAGCAGCCTCACGAGGGCACCGCTGTTGTGCCCATTCTGCAGATGCATAGACTTTGGGGGAGGTTACATCCCCACCCGACTGCGGGGTTTGGGAAGAAGAGGCGCTGGGGCCCATGCCTCGGGCAGGAGGAAGCCCAGCTCCCGGAAGACCGCAGACGGGAGGCCAGCTGCAGGCCCTGCCGGGTGGCTGCGGTGGCCGTGGGGCGCACACTGGCGAGGGTCACGTACGATCACGTGGGTGCAGCCCCGGTCCTGGAGCACAGCTCACTGTTGGGACTATTTCTGTTATTTCCCTCGGAATCTGCCAGCCCCTCCCGGAGGGCCTCTGACCACCCGTTCTCAGCCTGGCTCCAAAGACGCGGCCAAATACCCGCTGTCTCCACACCAGGTGGGGCTGGGGCCCTGCCACCCCTCACCCCGCTACACGTGGGTGGCTAGTAGGTGCCAAGTGGGGGACGTGGGGGAAGGGAGGGTGCCCTTCCTTTGATTCGAAAATAGGTTTGACCTGTCAAAAGAGACCACTGTGGTCTGGTTCGTCTACATGGTATTTATAGATCAGATGGAGAGCCGGGGAGTGGCGGCTGCAAGGTTAGAGCGTTGTCCTGCTCAGCCAAGGCTGCAGGTTCGATCCCCGGTCGGGCACATACTAGAAGCAACCAATGGTGCGTGGGTAAGTGGAGCAACAAATCGATGTTTCTCTCTCTCTCCCCCCTTCCTCTCTCTCTCTCAAATCAGTAAATAAATATTTTAAAACAAAAACAAAAAACCCAGTGGGTTTCCATGGGCATCGCAGGAGGCACGTGGTATCCGCAAGGGAGTCCCGCGAGGACTGGGCAGGTGGGCCCCCCGACCGGGTCCCTCCGGGCAGGGCCAAGGAACCGGTTGGAGCCGTGGGGCCCGGCTTCGTCTTTGCTGCGGGTCTTTGCTGGGGCCAGGCTGTGAAATGCGGCTCTGTCTGGGTACGAGGTACAAGGAGGACCGTATTTAACGCTCATCAGCGGTGGTCACAGTGCAGGTGAGCAAACCCAAGTTTTGCAAATGCGACTGCAGAGCCCCCAGAGAGGACAGCAACCACGGGAGGGCCCCTCCCTGCTGCCTTCGCCAGGAGCTCTGTTTTAGGGGACCCGCGATCCCCAAACTCTCCTGTGAGCCCCACATTCGCAGTGGGGGTGGGGGTGGGGCGAGGCCTGGCACTCTGGGCAGTTCTTCCCCCGTCCTGGGTTGACTCACAATCCGCAGTCTATCGCGCCTGCCGCGAGCTTGTATTTCAAGGCTCCTGCCCGGCAGTTCTATAGGCGGCTCGGGGAGCCCACATCGCAGCGTTTTCCCACGGCAGACGGGGGGGGCGAGCACCAGAGCCCAGAAGAGCTGGGGGAAGTGGAGGCCTGGGGGAGATGCACGCCTGTCCCTGGGGATGGGATCGGGACACTGCTCCTTGCGCCTCCCCTCCCCGGCCGCCCCTGCTGCTCCAGCCGACCCTGCCTCCCGCCCAGCATCCCACTGCCCGGCCACAGGCACCAGGATGGCGGGGGCTGAGGTGGACAGGACTGCCTGCCTCTGCAGCCCCCAGGAGACAGCGGGAAGCTGCCCCCAGGCCTGGGTGGCGGGACAGCCCGTGGGGGAGGGGAGACCCCCTCTGCCTGGGATGCTGGGAGCTTCCAGGTGAGATGCAGCGGGTCTTGCAGGAACAGCATGTGTTTCTAGAAGGGAAGGGCGAGCAGTGCCCAAGTGGAGCAAACAGCACATGCAAAGTCCAGGGTGGGGCTGACGGGGGGAGGATTTTGTGGCTGTGGTTTGCTTCCAGAGCTCTTATCAGTCTCTGCCAGGCCATAATCCCGGGGGTGCAATCACAGCCTGTTGCGGATGAAGGGCCAGGTGGCCAAGGTGAGGCTGACGGATGGAGGTTCCAGTCGCCTCGGCTCACCTCCCAGCTGTGTGACCTTGGGCAAGTCTCTTTAGGTCTCTGAGACTCCGTTTCTCATCTGTAAGGCAGGGGGAGGAGGGCTGCCATAGGACTGGTGTCCCCACTGGCTCCGGGCTGGCACTGGAGGCCCGGGCTTTCTCCCACTGCTCTGGGGAGCACAATTAGAGTGAGTTTGGGACCTGGAGCCAGCACCCCATCTGATAGTCACCCGTATGGGCAGGCTGGGACTGTATCACAAGACACCGCTCTGTGCCGTCCCTTCCCCTGGCTCCCTCTCCAGGGGAAGTGTCTGGAGACTGAGGCCTGAACCTGAGGGCGAGGTCACAGGATGTCAGCCAGGTACCAGAGAGGCTGGGAGGGGACCCGGGGGTGGGGACACCCAGAGCAGAGGTCTCGGGACTGCTGGTGAGGTGGGCGGGGGCCAGGCCTGGGGGTGACCAGGCTGGGGTCTGGAAGAGACCAATTAGTCAAATGGCTACAGTGACCATTTGGAAGCAATTAACAGGGTCGTTATTACCACATCCCCCCCACCTGGTTCTGTATGGAGCGGGAGGGCGGAGGTCGCCTGGGGTGTGGGCTGCGTGGGTGCTTCTGCCCGGCCCAGCCCAGCAGGGCTCTGGGAGTGAGACCCAAGCCCTGCCCGAAAGATGCCAGGGAGCCAGGGGCCTTCCCCCCACGGGGCCTAAGCCTCGAGGGCAGCCGGGCAATGTCCAGAGCCAAGCCAAGGCCCTCGGGGGCGTCCCAGGTGCTTCCCGGGCCAGGAAGGCAGGGGTCAGGGAGAATTAAAGAGGAGGCCGCAGTGGTGGGTGAGCGAGGGCCTGGGGCCCGGAGGAGAGGCTGTGGGCAGCGGGCTGGGGTGCAGGCAGGGGGGCGAGTGCTCCCAGCGCCAGCCGAGGATGGGGCTGCAGGGCCTCGGATGGCAGCCCCTGCTCTGGGGAGCGGAGGAAGCAGGGCCCAGCGAGTTTACCGCCTGGCAGTCACACTGGAAGGGATAGCATGCCGCGGGTGCCCGCCGTCCTTGCGTGACTGTTGACTGTGCCCAATCGTCCCTAAGGCACCACGGTTTACATAGCAACTGTGGTCCCCTATAGATGGGCCTGCTCTGCACTAATTCTGCTGAGTTTCTCTCACTATATCTGAGGCATTTCATACAGGAGCCAGCATCTCTGAGGAGCAATGCTACGTGGCCAAGGCCACAGGGCAAGGAACTGGTCTGGTCATTTGTTCATTCATTCATTCATTCTTCATTCAAGGAGTAGGGCTACCGTCTAGGAGCTGTGGGAACAACAGTGGACAAAGGCAGACCCTCCCGCCTTCCTGGCTTCCCCCAGTTCCAGGGTGCGGGCAGACTAGGGGGTGGGCTCAGGCTGAGCCACAGTGGGCAGGATCGAAGCTAGTCCTGGGGCACCATCGGGCGGCGTGAAGAGGGGCGAGGCTGCAAACCCTGAGCTGCTTCCGTAGAATTGTTCTGGCCCCTCCGCATCTTCCCCAAGGGGACCCCAGGGGAGGAAGCCGAGGCCTCTACAGCAAAGGGGCGTCTTGTCTTCCCCCAACCCAGCGGACCGTGCCTGCTCGCATGCTCTGAAATTCATTCTCTCTCTGAATTCCACGCCCGCCCGCTCTCCCTCTCGTCTCCTCTGGACACCCCCTCGGGAGGCACCTGTCTGACTCAGGGCAGAGCTAATGGCCTTGGGGACACCGATAGCCCTCACTGTGTGTGCCTCTGCACTCTCACAGGAAACCAAGTGACCAGCAGTCTCAGGCCAGGTCTGTGGGTGGAGCCCAGATGGGCAAGTTCCCCTCTTGGCTCTGTCCCCAGGGCCTGTCCTCTGTCCCGGGTGAAGCAGGCTCCATTATTAAGAGTCTGGGGCTCTAGCAATCGGTGGCCTGGTCTTTAGACTGTCCTGGTGGTGGACAGATACTGGCCAGGAGCTACCTCCCCAGGGACTGAGGGACCGTGTGATCCCCTTCAGATGCCCTCCCCCGGCCCTCAGGCACTGACCATGCCGGGGTGGGCTCACTGAGGACACAGTGGCCTGTTTGTGTTAGGCCAAATGATGAGAAATGTCCCAGTGGGGTGTGCCAGCCCCTGCAGTGCAACGGAGCCCCTGTGCCCGGCACGCCTGCCCCTCCCCTGGGCAGGACGCAGGTCCCAAATCCTGATACAGGTGGGTGAGAGGAAGGACACCAGCCGGGCTCATCCCGGAGCCCCTGAACCTGGAGCCAAGACTGTGGCCTACACCACCGGATCCCACAGGGCCCGTCCCCATCCCTGCCCTGGCCCCCTGTGCCACCCCCTTGCCATGGAGCCAGCCCCTGCTTGAGCCGGTGTCAGTGTCTGATGGCGAGGGCCAGGGGGCTGCTGGGGAACAGAGGCCAGGGAACAAGCGCAGGGCGTGGGGTGTGACTTCCCCAACCTCTATCCCCTCTACGCCCCTCTTCTCAGGGGTCCACCGGAGAGGGTTTCGCTGCTGCCCCTGACCCACCAGGCAGGGGGTTCCATAGCCCCTCCTATCCCACTTCTCTCCCCTCCCCTCCCTGTGGCCACCAGACTCCCTGCTTTTCTCCGGGGACCACTCCCTGCCCTCTTGGTGTCCGTTTCTGCGTCTTGGTCTCTCCCTGCCGCACTCTC